AATACACCTAAGCACCTAAAACAACTTTCAACTTAACCAAATCACTAAATGTGAAATGGCAACCATCACAGTAAACAGCGCATCAGGAGTTATACTACTCCTACCATGCTCATCCTTATCTCATATGAAAGATAATCAAATTTCCTACAACTCTCATGAAGATACCAAGTCTTAATTCCTTCATCTACCACGTTAAAAATGATAAAAACCGCAACAGCTATAAACAAAGCTAGCAGCTCGACCCCTCTTCACTAAAACAGCCATATTTAGAGTTCTAAAACTCCTTTTTGGGGAAAGCTAACATCCAAGGCTACAACTTTCATGAAAGAGAAATCTGACCTGAATGGCGCGAAGTTGTGGAAAGTGGAATGGTTATTCAGTGGAGTGAAAAGGGAGAAGTTTGAGCGATTTGCGGAGAGGGAGAGAAAATATGATGGTTTGTTATGTGAGAACTAAGAAGAAGAGAGAAAGCGAAGGGTTTATATCGGAAAGGGGAGAGAGTGCGCATTTGGCAGACATAGTATCGTCACCAAGGCATTCCTTTTGGCGGGGCATAGAGGTGTGGGGAGCCAGGAGATTAGTAGACTTGCCCTGCTTTCCTTTCCTCTGCCCAATCACTTGGAGTTGGAGGGAATTTGTTCTGCTTTTTATTATTTTTTTTTAAGTTTAAAATAATATTTGCTGAACCAAAGTTATATTTTGAAAACATAAATTAGTTATTCATCGTCAATTTTGTAATAATGCGTAAAAATGTCATTAATAATAAATTTTTGAATAGATGTAATTATAATTTGTAAGGGTAATTTTTGAAAAATATAAAAGAGATAGAGAATAATTTTAAAAATATAGTTTAAGAGGTGATTAAAGGAATAAAGACTTATGCCTAAAATAGTAGTAGGAATAAGTCTTTGAAGGTTTTTACCTACATTGACAATTTGTTGGTAGAAGAACTTTAAGTTATATTGAGTTTTGCCTACACTAATCAAAAGTGGGTATAGATTTTTGAGTTATACCTACATTAAATATTTGTAGGTAAATTTTTTTTTTAGTTTTACCTACACTAATTCAGGTCTATAGGTAAAAGTGTCTGTAGGCATAAATTATTTTTTTTGTAGTGATGTTAGCACCTTTTCTACACATGATTGACCCTTGAACTTGAAGTTGGTTTTCAAAAGACTCATTTTTTTGAAATTTTTTTTCATTGTTTTCCTAAATAAACGTTGGTGGCAACTCTTTTTTCTTAACATATTTTTGTTGTCCTGCTGCAAACATGATTGTGACACAAACTAATATATATGATGTTAAGAGTGCTTTTGATAAACATTAAGATACATGATACAGAGTACATTACAAGATAAATGTTCAAGTTCTTAGACAATTTTTTATTTACATTGTTTGGTAATAATGGACAACACAAATGAAGTAATGTTAAATTTATTACAGTGTATTTGTTTGTTTAAACTTTTTTTATAAAAACATTTTTTTATAAATAAAATAAGAAATTTATTACTTTTTGACGTGTTTGCTTAAACTTATTTTTTAAAATAAGTAGCTTAATTTTCTAGTTTTTTTTAAGAAGCAACTCTTACTTGCTTCTTAAGGAATTCTTTTTTTTACTAAAAGTAGTTGTTTTAAAAACACTTTTTTTAAAATTTAAATAAATGGAGTCAATATCTTTTTAATAGTAATTATTATAATGAATTATTATTATCTTAATGGGAGTAATACTAACAAGAATTATTCTAATTACAATGACAATGATGGTGGTGGTGGTGATTGTAACACCCCGAATTTTCTACTAATACAATATTAATTATTATTTTTTATATTTATGAAGATTATTTTCTTATAGTTATTTTAGTTAATTAAAGGGGTTTTATAGAATATTGTAAAGGTTTGTAATAATTTAAATTATTTATGAAAATTTTTATATAAAATTATGTTTTTTTAGGCCCAAAACGGACTGTTCCAAAGTGAAATAGGCCATTCCAAGATTCTAAAAATGCCTAAAAAGTTTAGTTGGAAACGGGCCATTCCAATTATGGTCAATATGTGTTAAAATGAACCCTAGAACAGGCCGTTCTAATTTGAGAACAAGCTGTTCTGATTTTTGAAAATAGAATGTTCTGATTTTAGAACGGACCGTTCTAGTTGAAAATTTTACATATAAACGAATGACACTAGAACGAGCAGTTTTGGATTCAGAACGGACCGTTCTGGGTACCCCTGAATGCCTATAAATAGGAGGCATAGGGTGAAAAAAAATTATAACTGAGAAGGTAAAGTCTTAGAGAGAGAAAGAGAGAGAGAAAAATAGAAAGAAAGACAGAGGGAGTCATCAAGACAAAATACTTGTAAAAGCTCAACAGCCAAGCAAGAGCTGAAGCCGTGTCAAAAGCCTCGCCTAAGAAAGGCAATCCCAAGTGATTCTATGTGCCCACCAAGTAAAGACACGTCAACAGTAGAATAGAATGGAATCGACCAAACAAGCAAGCCTAGAAGCATGAAGAGGCCATCATGCCTTACTCCTCAACCAAATGAAGGATGATCCAAGAGAATGCCAAGACCAAGAATGGCTTCCTACCAAAGCCAGGAGTGGCTTCCAAATAATACTTATCAATAAAGATTCAACGAATAACATCATCATGGGAAGGGATCCCTCCACCAATGATCACAACAAAAGACAAAACAAAAAAAGGCAAAGCTTCAACAAAAAGTGTCGAAGCTAAAAATAATAATAAAAGAATGCTAGGAAATCCTCAACCCGGGGATCCATCTACAAGCAAGGGGTAGGGCCCCCTCACAACGATGATCATATTAGACAATTCAACAAGGTTAAGCAAATCCACGTCGTCACCACAACAATCCACACTCGATCATCAACACCTAAATCCCTTTCATCCATCCACTCCTTTGCCCACTAGTATAAGGGCACATCAAGAACCTTCTACATGTCATTCTTAAGGCAGTCTCCATTATAAGTCAAGCAAACAAACGAGGGCATCATTGGCTTAGAGAGACCGAGCAAAAATACTCACCTTTGTAGGCTTGAAGAGGCCGCACAAAAATAATCACCTTTGTAAGCTTGGAGAGGCCGCGCAAAAATACTCACCTTTGTAGGCCTAGAGAGGCCACACAAAAATACTCAACATCAAGCTCAAAAAAGGTTGTTGGACCCTCAAAACTAGTACAAGCTCGAAAAAGGTTGTTGGACCCTTAAAACTAGTACAAGCTTGGAAAAGGTTACTAGACCCTCAAAACCAGTACAAGCTTGGAAAAGGTTGCTAGACCCTCAAAATTAGTATAAGCTCAAAAAGGGTTACTGGACCCTCAAAACTAGTACAAGCTCAAAAAAGGTTGGTGAACACTCAAAACCAGCACAAGCTTGGAAAAGGTTACTGGACCCTCAAAACCAATACAATCTCAAATAAGGTTTATAGACCCTGAAATCTAGTACAAGCTCAAAAAATGTTGTTGGATCCTCAAAACTAGTACAAGCTCAGAAAAGGTTATTGGACCCTCAAAATCAATACAAGCTGATGGCAACCCTCCTTGCATGGATTGAGTTAAGAGCATCAAAGAGGGAAGACTAGACTCATTGTATCATGGAACTCAAGGTTTCTAGCCTTGGTGATGGAGATGGGCGAATGGTGTTTATGGAGGCTAAGTGTTAGATGAAATGCTAAGGTGGTACTTTAGGGTTTTGGCTCACTTTATTGATGGATGAAGGCCACTCCTAAAGATGAGAACACTCACGATGAAGATGAGAAGGATAGTTGGCCGAAATGACTAAGGGGACTAAGGAAAGAATATTAAGGCTCAAAAGCTCTCTTAATATCATAAATTCCAAAGTATTTACAAGGTGCATGGATTAGGGTATATTTATAGGGGAAGGAGAATTTAGGGTTGAATTTGGGAGTGTATGGCCGAAAATGCAATGCCAAATGCACTTCAAATGAAACCCAAATTAACCCTAGATGCTACTTGGTGGCCAAGGACGGAATCTTTGGTTTTGGCTAAGCTACAACTAGGTGCATGATAAAACCATGCAACCTAGGTGCCTTCCACTTGGGCTTAAGCCTTGTCAAGTCCAAAAATAAATCCAATGCTCACCAAAAATACGTCCAGACCTATTTTCTCACCTAAATAAAATACCCTAGTCCAAAAATAAAATCCTATAATCTAAGGCACCCCATAATACAAGGGTAAAATGAGAAATACAAGTGAAAATAAATCCTATGACTAAAATACCCCAAAATACAAGGGTAAAATGAGAAATACAAGTAAAATAAATTCTATGTTTAAGATACCCAAAATACAAGGGTAAAAATGGGAAAATTAAAGACAAAGGCAAAATAGGCATAAAAGATAAATTCTATGCTAATAACGCTTAGGAGATAAGGCCCAAAAGTAGGCTCACTCCTCCTATGATTTTCAAAACTAACCTATTCCTCTTGCCTCCTTCAATATATCACCTCTTGATCTTCTTGGCCTTAGTGTTATTCCACCATTCCCTTCTTGAAAAGGATTAGACCTCAAATCAAGAGGTTCTTCATGGTGGGCATCATGACCAACAAAAACATAACATTAAGCATTAGAGGCAAAAGTATATGATATAAATGGAAAGGGCATCCTAAAAGGAGTTCCACTAAAAATGCTAAAAAGATTGTCTAAACTAAAAGGACTAGACTCTCTAATGTTAAGGATAGGATCCTCCCCATGGTGAAGTCTAGGTGTATAACTGCTCTATCTTTGAGGCTTGACCTAGGAAGAAACCCTAGTCCACCCTTTGGCCGAAACATTTTGGCGCCCACCGTGGGGCTACGGTGAAACTTTTCCTATGCCCCAAGTAATACAGAAGAACCTGCAGTTTACTATGGCGAGAGGCGGCACATCAAATAGCGACTCACAACACCCTACCATGGAAGAGATTATGGCATTGATCAATGGTTTGAGGGAGGAGAATGCACGATCCAGGGAGAGAGAGGAGGCGAGCGGATGAAATGCAGGCCATGATAATGGCCAGCACCAGGATGGTGGTGGAAGATGTCATGATGGAAGTCCCTAGGGACTTCTAACGATTCTCGAAAGCTATAGAGGCCGAGACTATCCCGAGGGATCATCGGGTTCCCCAAGTTGAACCTTTTGATGGAACTTAGGATCCCGGTTAGCACTTGACGGATTTTCGAGCTCAAACGCTGATTTGTGGAGGGAGCATGGAAATTCGCTGCAAGCTGTTCATGGGTACGCTCAAAAAGGCAGCACTTGATTGGTTTAGTGGTCTCCCTGACCGATCAATCACTAACTTTGATGTTTTCAATCGGCTCTTCATGGCACAATTCACAGCTAACAAGAAAAAACCGCTGATCACATCAGACTTGTTCGATCTCAAACAACAACATGAGGAGTCGTTGAAGGACTTTCTACAAAGGTTCAATGAGGTCGCCTTGAGGATAACATCCTTGGATGAAAGGATGGCGGTCATCGCATTCCAGAAGGGTCTGAGATCTGGAACTTTTGACATCGCGCTGGAGACAACAAATTGTCAAACGATGTCCGAGGTGAGAGCTTTTGCCCTAAGTCACATCAAGACGGAGGAAGGACAAATCAATAAGAGGGCGGCTGAAAGCCGAGAAGCAGGGGGCAGCAACAAGGAGGACAATAAGCACCTCCGGGTACGCTTGGATTGGAATAAGCGACGTGATCACTATAATGCGAAGGAGGGAAATCGTAGGCAGGCAAACTATGGTGGTCGGGGGAGAGGCGAGTGGGCATGAAACAAAGAACAAGAAAAATTCACCCCACTCAATGTCCCTAGGAGGCAGATACTCCATGACGTCAACAACACGTCACCTTTTGAGTTCCCGGCAGTGACTGATCATCAATTGGGTCCTTTCAAAACTGACTGGTGTGAGTTTCATAGGACCCATGGGCACACTGCGGAGAATTGTTTCATTCTCGGTAGGCAAATTGAGCGCCTTATCAAGGAGGGTCATTTGAAGAAGTTTGTAGCAAGAAAGCATGATGAACGCCCGTCTAATAGACAACGTAGACATGAAGGGGAGGATACGAAAGGAGGAAGACACAAAGGGAGGTCTCCTCCTAGAGATCTTCTAGAAAAAATTTCGGAGACTCATCAACAGGCCATCCATGGAGATTTTAACACCATAGCGGGGGGATTTGCTGGAGGGGGCCCGACGTCAGTGACGCGGAAGAGATACTCCCGCTCGGTGTTATCAGTCTCGGAGTGGGCGAGACCAACTCTGCCAGCCATCATATTTTTGAACGCCGACTTTGAAGGGGTGTCTCCCCATGAGGACAACCCTATAGTCATTTCTGCGATCATCATGGGCTATAATGTGAAACGCATGTTGGTAGATCAGGGTAGCTCGGTGGACATCATGTTCTGGGAGGCATTTATTGGGATGAAAATTTCGACTGATCGCCTTATGCCATATGCAGGTACTTTGGTTGGTTTTGCAGGTGATCAGGTGACGGCCAAGGGGTACGCCGACATGGAGACCACCTTTGGGCAGGGAGACCACATGAAGACTATCACTGTCCGATACCTGGTGGTGAACGCCCAGTCATCTTACAGCATACTAGTCGGACGACCCACGTTGAATAAGTTAGGCGCGGTCGTCTCCACACCCCACTTGAAGTTGAAGTATCTTCTACCCAGTGGAAAGGTCGGAGTCCTCTGTGTAGAAGTCGCAAGGAAATGTTACGAGGACAGCTTGAGGGTGAGAAGACACCTATATGTGACACAGGTTGATCGGGGCATCCAATCCATTGAGTTAGATTCGAGGATGATTCACTTCGATTCCCGACCAGCCCCGGTGGAGGACGTGAAGGAAGTTAGCCTGGCTGAAGGAAAAACCGTGAAGATCGGTGTGTCTTTAGCTAAAGGAGATGAGGAGGGGTTGGTGACCGTGTTGAAAAGCAACATATCAGCCTTTGCGTGGAGTGCCAGTGACATGCCAGGTATTGATCCAGATTTCCTATGTCACCACCTCATGGTTGACCCCAAGGCGAAGCCTATGATTCAAAAAAGGTGAAAATTTGGAGATGATAAAAGGAAAGCTATAGCTGAGGAGATGAGGAAGTTGATGGCGGCCGATCACATTCAGGAAATCCAATACTCGATGTGGCTAGCAAACATGGTAATGGTACGAAAGAGCAATGGAAACTGGAGGATATGCACAGACTTCACTAACCTAAATAAAGCTTGTCCAAAAGACTCATACCCGCTGCCCAACATAGATTGCCTAGTCGACAATGCGTCGGGGTATGAGTTGTCAAGCTTCATGGACGCATACTTGGGTTATAACCAGATCAGGATGCATCCCGCCAATGAGGACAAAACGGCGTTCATAGCCGATCAAGCCACCTACTGTTACAAGGTCATGCCTTTCAGGTTGAAGAACGCGGGGCGACGTACCAGAGGCTTATGGACAAGGTTTTGGCAGATTAGCTAGGAAGAAATGTGGAGGCATACGTAGACGACATGGTGGTCAAGTCGGCTAGTGTTGCTCGGCATTTCTATGACCTACAAGAATCGTTCGACACTCTGGCGTGTTACCAGCTCAAGTTAAATCCTGCAAAGTGCTCGTTAGGCGTCCAAGCAGGGAAATTTCTTGGTTTCTTATTGACTCATCGTGGTATTGAAGCGAATCCTGATAAGTGCTCCGCGATAATCAATATGAGAAGCCCGACGACAGTAAAAGAGGTCCAGTAGTTTGCGGGGAGGATGGCTTCCCTTTCTCGGTTTCTTTCAAAAGTGGCAGATAAATCGTTACCCTTATTCCAATGTTTAAGGAAGAACGATCGCTTTTCATGGACAGACAAGTGTGAAAGGGCATTTGGAGAACTCAAGAAGACCCTTACCTCACCGCCGATCCTCACCGCCGTTACCCTTATTTTGTCAATAGGGTGTTGCAAGGAGCGGAGGTTCGCTACCAGAAGATCGAGAACTTGGCATACACCATATTGGTAACAACGAGAAAGCTCGGGCACTATTTTCAAAGCTATGAAATAATAATCTAGACAGACTACCCGATCAGGCAGGTTTTGTAAAAGCCTGACCTGGCTGGAAGGATGATGAAGTGTTCAATCGAGTTATTGGAATTCGTGATCAGATATGAGCCGACGGGACCCATCAAAGTTCAAGCATTGGCCGACTTCTTAGTAGAATTGACCTCACCTACCGAAGAGGATTATTCTAGAGAAAGTGAATGGATCCTGTCTATCGATGAAGCCTCGAACTTGGGCGGTAGTGGGGCCGGGATCGTCCTCGAAGGTCCCGGAGGCATACTCTTAGAATAGTCGCTACAATTTGAGTTTCAGGCGAGCAATAATCAGGCAGAGTATGAAGCATTGTTGGCAGGGATGACTCAGGAAAAGGAAATGGGTGCAACAAGTCTGTCAGCTAGGAGTGACTCACAACTTGTGACGGGGCAAGTGGCAGGAACTTTCCAGGAAAAGGATCCCCAAATAGCTAAGTATCTAGAAAAAGTGAAGGTCATGTCGGCCGACTTGACCAAGTTCTCACTGAACCATGTCCCTAGGGAGCAGAATTCACGAGCCGACCTCCTCTCAAAACTAGCAAGCACGAAGAGACCAGGCGCCACACGTTCGATCATCCAAGAAGTCATGTCCCAACCAAGCATCAATGGGTCTTATGTCGAGGTCCTGGTTATCGAAGAAGAGGAAGAATCTTGGATGACACCTTACATCCTGTACCTAACACAAGGATAGTTGCCTGAAGATAAACATGATGCATCGCTAATTGTAGGGGAGTCGACGAGGTTCTTGATTTTGTCGGGGATACTATACCAAAAAGCATTCAGTGCCCCTCTGTTATGGTGCTTAACGGCATCGCAGGCCCAACGAGTAATGGAATAGATTCATGGAGGGATGTGTGGAAGCCATATCGAAGGCCGATCTCTTGTGTACAACGTTACCCGAGCATGTTACTTATGGCCGACTCTACGAAAAGATTGTGTCAATTGGGTCTACAAATGCGATGAATGCCAAAGAAACGCAGTCCAACATCATTCACCTGCCGAAAGACTTCACTCACTCATATCTCCATGGCCTTTCAACAAGTGGGGGATTGACATTTTAGGTCCTTTTCCGATGGCTGTACGCAATTAAAGTTCTTGATCGTGGCGGTGGATTATTTTAGCAAAATGGATAGAAGCAGAACCAGTAGCAACCATCTCAACCGAAAAGGTAAGAACTTTCTTATGGAAGAACGTCATATGTCGATACGGTATCTCGCAGGTGTTGGTATCGGATAATGGAATGCAATTCACTGTAGACCCCTAAAATTGTCCGGGGTCCAGCACTCCTTAGAGCTCGAAATTTCTCTCTTTTTCTCTCTCTCTCTTTCTTGAGTATTGTGAGGCAATTGTAGTGCGAAAGGTTGCCAAAAAGCACCTATCTTCCCATTTTGAAGATCCAATAGAGCTCATTCAAGAGGTATTTCAGTTAATTTCTTTTTCTCTTTTTTTATTTCTTATCTATAATAATTATTGTAATAATAGAAATAATCATGTAGACATTTTAGGGTTAATTGTATAATTTAAATTTCAAACATGTAAGTAGTTATTAACAAAAGGGGATTTAATATTTATATTATTATTGTTTATAATGTTAACTTCATCATAGGGTACCGATTGAAGGCGTTGTAGAAGTGCTTAATACCTTCCCTACACGTAACCGACCCCCGAACCTAATTCTAGTTATCAAGGCCATTATTGGATTTTTAAAAACCTTTTCTTTTTCCAATGTTTTGAGTAAAATATTGGTGGCGACTCCATGAACCTATTTTCAAAACCATTAATTAAGGATTAGTCTGGTGTTCGGACATTCCTTAATTAATGAGACTTTTAAAAGGATGTCTAAACCATAGGTCGCAAGATCAGAAATTTTCGGGTTGCGACA